GAGGTACTAGGGAGCAGATACAGCGTTTCTGAGACCCATGTGACAGGACAAGTAGTCTAAGAGAAATCCTTGAAGCTGGGACTAGGGTGATCAGAAAGAGAGGGAGTAGATGTGGAAGTGTCTGGATTATGCCCATGGATGCAGAGATCGCAGTAAGCGTACTGTCGAAGGGAGTAGCAGCAGTGGCTGCTGGAGGCTTCCTTCTTTAGGAATTAACTAGACTTGAGGGAGGAAGAGATGGGCATCCGTGACTGAAGGACCTCTAAAATCCATTCACTGGATGAGGACCCATGCAGATATAAAGAACATGTTTCTGTTTTCAGGCCTTTTTGGCAAGTTTAGAAGCACTGAAGACCTAATGAATATAAGGCTTGATTCTCCAGATTACTCAGTTGGCAGTAGATTTCACTTTCTGGAGGTGATTTGAGGTCTGTGTGTGAAAGTAGTGACGAATGCATGGAAGTTCTGTGCATGCCCCGAACCTTCCTCTGTCGCTGGACCAAAGAGGAGAAAAACTTTTCAATGTAGCAGTTTTTTTGCAAAGGACCCTTTAAAAAATGACTTGAAGATTCTGTTTTCTTTGGTAATTTGCCGGTGAATTCCTTTTGAAAGGAATAGTTTGCTTGCCTAGACAGACAAACAAAGTAAAGTTTAGATTATTTTTTTTAATGATTTGCAATGCTGCAATTTGAACAGGTTTGGTTTTAAAGAGTCTGACCTGTGAGGTTTTATCTTTTTTTCTTTTGTTGTGAAAACCTTTTGTGCGAAATGAGAGAGGTCAGCTGACTATATTTGGGTTACATGGCAAGACTGTTCTCTGCATACTTACACTAACATGGCATCATCGTGAAGACATCTGTAATCCATTTGTTACGGTTACCTCACCTGTGAGATGTTAGAAGAACTTGTGTGTGAATAACCGTACTCACTAACACAGGCGTGCGACTGTGAATATACAGCTTGTTTTGTAAGTTAGAAATGCAGAGAAAATATAATAAGGTCATGAATTG